ATATATATATATATATATATATATATATATATGTGTGTGTGTGTGTGTGTGTGTGTGTGTGTGTGTATCATGTGCATACCTGGTGCTTGCCGCTGTCAGAAGAGGGCATAAAGATGCCCTGGAATTGGAGTTGTACAAGGTTATAAACCATGTGCGTGCTGAGAACTGAATCCAAGTCCTTTGCAGGAGCAGCAAGTACTCTTAACCACAGAGCCATCTCTCTATCCCCTGATCCATGACCTACTTCTCACTAACTTCTACCATTTCTTATAGATATTAAGACATTCTAAAACAGCAACAGCAGCAACAAAAATCAGCCAGCCTTGGTGGTGTACACCTGTAATCCCAGTACTTGGGAGACTGGGGAGAAAGAGTGTGAGTTTGAGGCCAGCCTGGTCTACAGAGCTATGTCCAGTACAGCCAAGGGTACACAGAGAAACCCTGCCTCAAAAACAAAGCAAACAAACAAACAACAACAAAACACTAAGACAAAAAAAAATTGCAAAATACTAGCTAGGCACAGTGGCATATGCCTTTAATCCTGGCACTTGAAAGGCAGAAGTAGGTAGATCTTTATGAGTTTGAGGCCAGCCTATTCTACATAGTAGGTTCTAGGACAGCCAGAGGTACATAGTAAGACCCTGTCTCTAAGAGGAAAAAAAAGGCTGGGCAATGGTGGTGCAAGCCTTTAGTCAGGAGGCAAATTGAGTGGGCCTCTCTGAGTTCAAGGCCAACTTGGTCTACAGAGCAAGTTCTAGGACAGGCTCCAAAGCTACCGAGAAACTGTCTCAAAAAAATAAAGAAAGGAAAGAAAGAAGAAAAATACTACAAGGGAATAATGATTTAAGAGTTAACTTTTAAGAGTAAGGCAGGAAGTTAAGAGGTTAACATTAGACAGAACTTGGCAGGCCCACATAATTTTATTTTAGGCAGACTACTTAAAATATAGCTATTGCAAAAAGAATGAAATACTTAGCAATTCAGAAAACAGTAGATTTTACAGGTCAAAATTGGAATCAATTCACTAATGGACAGACTTTAGACAGCTTCGGGAAAAGTTGCCTTTTTATCTCAGCTACTGTGGTTTGTTGGCTACCTGATATCTAGACGGTATTCGTTTCTAGAACCCTCCAGTCTTGTTTTCTTTCATGTAGATCTGAGAGAACTGTTACAAGACCCTGAGCCCTCCTTGCGCATCATCGCCTCCCAGGCACTGTTCCGAATCCAGAGAGTAGGGAGTCAGCCAGAAGAAGCCCAGAAAACATTCTGCAGGTTGAGGAAGCTCTTCAGCTGTCTTCATACTTAAAATGTAAAACACATGACCGCAGGTAAGAGTGTTGAAGTAAGAGCGGCAGGGCTGCGTCCCCGGCACCCGGCCGCCCTCATGGTTAGGTTATGCCCGAAATAATTACACGGAAACTGTATTCTTTTAAACACTGTCTGGCCCGGCTAGTTCCAGTTTCTTATTGGTTAGCTCTTACATATTGTTCTAATCCATTTCTAATATTCTGTGTAGCCCATGAGCTGGCTTACCAGGGAGGATCTTAACCTGCGTCTGTCTGGAGTGGGAGAACCATGGCGACTCCTTCACTAAGCTTCTTTTTCCCAGCATTCTCTTCTGTCTACTCCGCCTACCTAATTTTCTGTCCTATGAGGGCCGAGGCAGTTTTTTTTTATTATAATTAACCAATGTCCTTCCTCCATCATAAGAGCAAATCCTTCCAGAAGCCACAGAAGTGACAAACATACTCCATTTTCTTTCTTCTTTCAAATGTTACCATATTTCAAATGTATCTATGAATGTGTGTAGTGTGGAGGTCAGAGGACAACTTGTGGGAGTTCCTTCTCTCTTTCCCCAATGGGCATCCCAAGGGTCAAACATAGGCTGTTAGGCTTTGTAGCAAATATGTTTACCCATTAAGTTGATCTTGCCAGCCTGTATTCCGTTTTTCTTTCAGACTTAGGCAACCCTAGCATGAAGCTACTATGCACTTAGTTACCTCCAACATTATCCCCACTTAAAAAGCATCATAGTAGTTAAAATATATCAGGGAGTTAAGTTCTTGGTTTAAATTTGCAGACATAGTAAAAACTGTCATGAGTTTGAGTTATGTAGACATCCACAAAGTTTAAGTGCTGCTCACTGCTTTAGAGAGACAGAGGGTGGGGTGGGGTTGTTGGGGGGATAGTCCAGTGTTGAAATAAGAAGCGGCGTGGCTGCGTCCCCAACACCCCGGCCGCTTGGCTAGCTCATGCCCGAAATAACAACACACAAACTGTATTCATTTAAGAACTGCTTGGCCCATGAACTCTAACCCTTACAGGCTAATTCTCGCACCTGGACTAGCCCATTTCTAATGATGTGTGTAAGCACCCCAAGGTGCGCTTACCGGGAAGATTCTAGCCTACATCCATCCGGGATTGGAGGAGCTTCATTGCGTGCATCTGCCTGGGAGAGCTGAGCATGGTGTCTCTGCTCCAGCAGAGCTGTCGGGTCTCTCCAGTCCCTCTGGAAGCAGTGCAGAGTCTGACCTCACTTCCTCTTCCGCCCAGAATTCTATTCTGTTTACTCCTCCCCCCAGTGCTTTAACCTATGAGGCCAAGCAGTGTGTTTATTACTTAACCAATGAAATCAACAGATTGATATATGACACTCCCACATCAGTCCAGGGCCAGGGACACAAATCAATGGAAGAGTAGGAGTGAGAGGTCCTGGGTTCGGTGCACAAAAACAAACAGGTCATGTGTGTAACCTCAGCACTTGGGAGGCTGAGGCAGGAGAATCAGGTATTTAAGATCATTCTTGAGTTTGAGACTAGTCTCTACTTCATGCAAGTCTGGTATATTCTCTCAAAAAACAAAAAACAAAACAAGACTTGGGGGCTGGAGAGAACTTAGTGGTTAAGAGCACTGATTGCTCTTCCAGAGGTCCTGAGTTCAATTCCCAGCAACCACGTGGTGGTTCACAACCACCTATAATGAGATCTGGTGCCCTCTTCTGGCCTACAGGCAGGAAACTGTATAAATAAATCTTTAAAAAAAAATTTTTTTTAAATTTTGTTAGCACTTTCTCAGTAGAGTGAGACAGCTTGACAGCCTGTAAGATGATCTGAAACCTGACATACAAATCCAAGAAGGGGAAAATTATCAACAAAAATACCCGTGCTTTGCTAGTATAGAGATGTAACGCAATAATAAAACCAAGCTTCTAGTAACACGTGCAATGAGAGAGCAATAAAAATATTCCATCTAAAAAAAAAAAAACAAGATTTATGCAGCCACCTTTAATCCCAGCTCTCAGGAGGCAGAGATAGGCACATCACTGAGAGTTCTAGGCCAGCTTGGTCTATATAGTAAATTCCTCGGCCAGCCAAGGATACATAATAAAACTTTGTATGAAAACAAAACAGTCCTTAAGTAACAACAGAAAAGACAAAAGAAAAATTGAGGTGTTAGTATTGTTGGCTTTGTTGTTAAGGCTAATTGATTGAGGACAAGAAATACCAGTCTATTTTTACATTTTCATACATAAGGCCTTTCTTCTTCCAATTCCTTTTGATGCCTGTGAACAATGGCAAAACTCTGACAGGGTTATAATGCTGAATCTATCCCAGTCTATACAAAGTCCCCCACTCCTTTCCCCCCATGTTCCTAATTTCTCCAACTACTGCTGCCAGGCCCTTGGTGCCTCAAAGGTGGAATCTGTTTACTACCCACTGACCACTTTAAATTTAAATGAAGAAAATGTTCTCAGAAGATGAGTTTTTCTAAGAAACATATTAGGTAGGCTGGAGAGATGACTCAGGAGTTAAGAGCACTGACTGCTCATCCAAAGGACCAGGGTTCAATTCCCAGCACCAACATGGCAGTTCACAACTGTCTGTAACTCCAAGCTCTGATACCCTCAGACATACATACAGGCAAAACACCAATGCACTTTAAAAGAGAGAGAGAAACAGATTAGTTTATGTTGAGTAAATACTTTAATAACTGCACCTAGAAGGGTGGAAAATCCCTAAGGGCATACTAGAAATGAGGTATTAAGTTCAACTTTCAGGCTCTTGTGTTTAGTGGAGAAACCTAAGCAGAAAGCCAGAGCTGAATTCCCTGGGGTGATATGGAGAGAAAAATCTGACAATGCAGGTGAAGAGCCAGCAGTGAACGGCACTGTTTGTGTTGTCGAGTGAGCGTCTGAATCTGTATTCACCTTCTTTCCCAACTTTCACTGCTATCTCTCTGCTGAGATGTCTTTAGGAACAAATTCCTCTATGGTTCATAGTGAGTGGGATGTGGCAATCTGCTAGGTGTAGCTCCAGGAGGTTCAAAATGAAGACCTTAGTTGCCTGATGGATTCAGATATGTTCAACATATATGTATATATATATATATATACATACATATATATATAGCCTGTGGGCCACAGGTATCCTACACCTACATCACAGTGTCACATTGGACATTCACTCTGAGTCAGAGTCAAGACTCGCTAAATCATTACATATAAATCACTACATATAAAACTGCAAGGAATGCTAACTAAACATACATTTAAATTACATTCACCCCTCATATTCTCCTTGACTCCTGTAGTATGAATTCTAATTGTTCTTTGTTTCTTTCTTTTTTTTTTTTTTTAAGACAGTTTCTCTGTGTAGCCTTGGCTGTCCTAGAACTAGCTCTTGTAGACCAGGCTGGCCTTGAACTCACAGAGATCGGCCTGCCCCTGCCTTCCTAGTGCTGGGATTAAAGGCATGCACCACTACTGCCCAACTCCTTTTCAATTCTTTATTCACTTTATTATCTTTGTTTTGCAGATGGAGAAACTGAGGAAACAAACATGAAATTAAGTTGCTCTGGGTCACACAAATAGTAAAGGGCAAAGCCAGGATAATCCCAGTATTCTGACTCCTACACCCACATCCTGGGTTAGTCTGCTGTATTCGTCTACATCTGCTCTTTCTTACAGATGGGAATAAACACGGATGGACCTGCTCTATAGTTCATCTCAGTTGCTGAATTTGTGCTCCAAAAAACCCTCATGCAACCAAGTATGTTTGTAGTGACACTGAGCCTCCAGTGTTTAATCAAATCCAGGTCTGACCTCTTATTTCCTAAAGATAGCATGCTGCACATTTTGATCACAGAGAACATCCATCCTGTACTGTAAAGATAATGGAGTTCTATAAAAACTGGTGTTTTCTTGAAACTTTTTTTCCGTGCTTGGTTTGAGTTCATGTGCTCTTCCATTCTCAGGGTGGAAAGAGACCTGTAGGGATGGAAAGATACTCATTTCTAAATTTTCAGTGAAAAAGTGAGAGAACAAGCCAGGCTTCGCATCTTCTGCCTCTATTCCAGCACTTGTGAGGCAGAGGTGAGAGAACTGTCACAAGTTCAAGGTTATCCTGATCTATATAACGAATTCCAGGCCAGGCAGAGCAAGACTCTGTTACAGAAGGAGTAAATGAATTCTTTTCAAATCCAAAAAAGCAAGGGGACTGTGATTACAGAGGCTAAGCTGAGGATATAGTTTAGATCTCTAGTGCCAGAACATGACTGAATGACCCCTTTCTTTCTCATATTTTGTACTGTAGTTCTTTTCTCTCCAGCTAGATTTTATTTTTTGACTAATGCCACCAACAGGTGGTCTCAAGCATAAAAACATTTATTTTATTTATATTTGTTAGTTAAAATTCATTGAAGTACATACTGAGAGACATGGGACTACTGCTTATTGAACTATCTCAGAACCTGGGAACTTTTATAAGTGCCTAATAGTGATAATACTAATAAGTCTATTAAATCCAGATAGCTTCGTTATTTTTATATAAAGCTATCCTTAGAAACAGGTTAGTAGTTTTTATTGATTTTTCTAAAACAATGTATGAAACAAAGGGTCTAGGCTTTAATTTTGTCATATGTTGAAAAAAATTGAAAACAGTACAATGTTATTTTAATACTACATATTAAAATATATTGTTCATTTTCTATTACTGATACACTCATGCCTTTATTATTTTTGATTCTCACTTTTTTAGTAACTGCTTTGCTTTCCTGCCCTTCACTGGGACACCTATTTCATAAGAGCTTCTTGTGGGCATTATGGCTTACTCCATTCAAGATCAGCCTGGGCTGTGTTAGACCCTGCCTCAAAAACAAATAAGGGCTGGAGATAGGGCTCCACAGGTAGCTGGTTTTCTGTACCCCTGTTGGTCAGCTCACAACCACCTGTAACTCCAGCTCCTGGGGATCCAATGCCCTCTTCTGGCCTCTGTGTGTGTGTGTGTGTGTGTGTGTGTGTGTCCGCATGCACACATGAGCAACTAAGTCTTTTACAAAAGAAATTTTTTCTCTCATTTTAAAAGACTATCATACAAATAAAAAACAGGGCTGGGGATGGGAAAGAGCTCTCAGGTAACAGCCCAGCAAGAGAAAATATGCTAGGTAAAATTATAAGCTAGGTTTATCTGTCCTTTCTACCCCATCCCACCCCAACTTGGCTCTGTGCTTCTCCATCTCTTTCATGGGGATGGATCTGAGGAACTTACTACTATGTGTAAATGATCAAAAATGCAAGGCTTAATGAAGTTACAGTCCCAGAACATGACCCTGAAGCCCAAATCGTGAAAGTTTATAGAGTGTAAACTGAACAGAGAAGGAAGTAAGAGTTAGAGTAAGGACAGGGAATGGAGACTTTCTTTTATACCTGAGTCCATATCTCTCATACTTTGTCTTTCTTTCTTTCTTTTCTTTTTTTTTAAATTTTTTAAAAATACTTATTTATTTTATTATGTTATATACTGTCTGTATGTATGTCTGCAGGCCAGAAGAGGGCACCAGACCTCATTACAGATGGTTGTGAGCCACCATGTGGTTGCTGGGAATTGAACTCAAGACCTTTGAAAGAGCAGGCAATGCTCTTAACCACTGAGCCATCTCTCCAGCTCTGTGTGTGTGTGTGTTTCCCAAATCTATAGATGAAAGTTTCTGTCCCACCCAACTCCACAAAAAAAATTTCCTCAAGAGCATAGGAAAATGACAAAACAGAAGAGAGGGATGGTCAAAAATGTGTTGACACACACCTTTAATCCCAGCACTCAGTAGGCAGAAGCAGGCAGATTTCTGTGAGTTCAAGGCGTGCCTGGGCTACAAAGGTAGTTCTAGGATGAACCAGGGCTTCCAGAGAAATCCTAAGAAAAACCAAAAACCAAACCAAAAGAAAGCAAAACAAGTCTTCAGATTTGCAAATCAAAAGGAAAGGGGCAGATTCTACGATTTCTAAAGAATAGCGAACTCCAGAACATGGGATGATTTCCCTGACTCAAAGCAGTCCTGAACTGGCCATGATTTCTATGCTCATCTGTCTAAGGAAGACAGTACTGATTTAAGCATTCCCATTAGGGCTGTGATATAACTTAGTAGCAGAGAACATGCATAAGGCCCTGGGTTTAGTTGTCAGCACCATAAAAATACATATAAATATGTATATATATAATTATTCTAAAATTGTTTATGAGGGAATTACTGTCCCTCTTTTTGTTTTAACAGAAATGATAACAGAAGTATAGAAAAGGAAAAAAATCTCAGTGATAGTGATTTACAAAGAAATTAAAGGGACAGTTAAGAATTCAGGAAAAGCTGTGCAGTGGTGTTGTATGCCTTTAATTCCAGCACTTGGGAAGCAGAGGCAGATGGATGTCTGAAAGTTCGAGGACAGCCTGGACTACAGAGTGAGTTTCAGGACAGCCAGGTCTGTCTGTTTCACAGAGAAATCCTGTCTCAAAAAAACAAAACAAAAAATCCAGAAAAAATGTTGTTTTAGTCACTGTTCTCTTGCTGTGAAGAGAAACCATGACCAAGACAGCTCTTATGAAAGAAAGCACTTAAGAGCTTGCTTACAGTTTCAGAGGTTAGTTCGTTATCATTATGGTATCATATTGGCAGGTGCTGGACTAGAAGCTGAGAGCTACATCCTCAGCTGTAGCTAGAGAAATGGAGAGAGAGAGAGAGAGAGAGCAAGAGAGCGCCCATGCCTAGGCCTATTATGGGCTTTTGAAATCTCAAACCCACTCCCAAGTGACACTTCCTTCAACAAGGCCACACCTCCTAATCCTTTTAATCATTTCAAGTCGTGCTTTCAAATCTATGATTCTTATTCCAGTCACCATAGATGTCCCTTTGTGAACCAACAGTAAAAAGGTGATAAAACAATAAGAACATATATAAAATAGGCCCTGCTTACTGCATATCTACGGGGGCGAGGACCCGAACTGTCAGTAGACGGTAGTCTTGCCACCCCACTTCAGAAGCCCACACACGTGCAGCCAACTCTGTCCTCTACTTCTAAACAAGATGAAACCACTCAAGCTTCAAAAAGATTATACATGCATCTGCTGCTACAACAACTAACAGGCCATTTTTTTTTTCACCAACCAACACACAAAAAAATTATTTTTCAATTTCAGCACCAGTGATGTAGTGGGTATTTCTAGGACACAAAACTTGATGTGTCTAGGGCAGAACACTAAAAGGGAGAGGAATCTGCAGGCAGTTTTAAATACCACCACCTGAAAACTAGAGAAATTTACAAGCAAGTTCTTAGGCCTTTCTCCTCCTATTACCTGGTGACTGCTAACGAGCTTTTGGATTATATGACTGCTCAGATTTGCCATTTCAGCAACAGACTTCATAGGGTTACAAGGTCTGGTCAACCAATCCATCTTTTATTGAAAAATTAAATGAAAAAAGATTTTTGTTTTGTTTTCCAACTTCCATTATGATAACCTGCTTTAGAGTTTAAATGAAATTGTGAGGCCTCCACTGTAATGATTTCAGCCACATAAGGCTGATACTTCCGGGTTCTAGTGGCCATGCATGTGCAGAGGAGCCCTCAGGCAGAAGTGCCTAAAGGCTTCGGGGATGTTAAAGGGCCGCTCGTGACCCACATGCTGGGTGGATTACATCATCCACGTTTGACTCAGCTAAGCCCTTGTGTGCATGCGTGGTTGCATCATCCATGTATGACCCAGCTAAGCCCTTGCGTGCAGGCGTGACCCCTCCTCTGCGTATGACGTAGCCAAGTCAACCCCTGTGTGCATATGCTAGGCAGCTTTTAAAAGCTGGACGCGCCATCTTTCTCTGTCTCTTTTTGCACACCGACTTCCCCAGGCCTGTACAAGCTCCCTCTAGTAAACTCCTAAGCGGGTTTGTTGCGTGTTCTGTGTTTTCCTTCTCACTCGCGCCAGGTAATTTCATCCACTTCCTACAAGAACCCACCATGAAACTACACTATAGCCAGCCTTGCTTGTCTTTTTGCTTGAAGGTCCATCCTAGTCAAAATCTTTTAACACCCTGGCCTAGATGAAAACCTATGTTAATGGGTGGTATGTAGCTATTTCTTCTGAATTGAAGCATTCTCTCCTGGAAAGAGGCTCATGGGACTCTGGGAGAAAACAAGACTTAAAAGGCTCAGAAACTTACAGGACTCACAAGATCCATTCTTCAGGAATATATTACATTTATTATATATATGCATTAAATAATTGCTAGGGAAACTCAGGCTGGTGGTGATGCCAGCTAGTTGTACAGGGAGCTCCCAGGATGTGGCTTTTGGAGGGTGTCATCCATGACAGAATGGGCTTCTTGATGAACAGCTGTCTTTGCACCCACGCTCCCTCCTCTAAGTAACCCCTGTAAACTGACTCACTGTGTCCCTAAGGCTGGATGAGGCTGGACAGTTTCCTAGGATTTTATCATTTGTCCCTCTGGGATTTCCCCAGGAAAATCACATAACACAGGGCTCCTCTCAGCAGTGTACCCTTGTATTTTAGTCCAAAGATGCCTTCCAATCCGGCACCTTCCAGCATGTAAGACAGCAAGCACCCCACTATCTCCAAACTTGGTAGTCTTTATCTTATCCCATTCATGAAGCCATAGCTGCAGCCAGAGGAGTTTGTGCAAAACAGACTGATCATCACTAACATGTTCCAATCTCTGCTTGGAGTAGAATATCCAGGCTTTGGTGGGGCATGTGAATTCCTTCATAACTTGCCTCGATATCTCCATTTTCTTCTTTAGTGACTCCTTCATCCAGACAATGGTACTTTGTAATGTTTCAAATACACCACACTAAGTTCTGAGTGCCAAGAACTAACCCAAACTAGGGAATACAGTGAAGACAAAAAGTCTATTCACCATTTAATTATTTTAGTAGGCAGAGCTGGCCGATTAGCACGACAGTTTCAGAGAAGGTACCATGGAGACAATGAAGTGGATGTCGGGTGGGAGGCGTCACCTACTTTTAGCTGTACCGCTCAGAAATGCAGTTTGATGAATACATGAGAAAAGCCTCCTCCGACTGAGAACTAGCTTGATATTTCCAAGTTAAGAATTACCTGATGCATCTGAATGTTTTATTTTTCCGTATTTTAAAGACAAAAGGCATTTCCTGAGGGATTCTAGGTGAAACTGTCCGGTCCTGGTTTACGGTTTAAAAACGTTTACGTTTTCAGGTTAGCGCAAAGACCATCTCTACTCCTTAAATGGCTACATACTAGGACAGTTTCAGAATCCAGGGAGTTAAGAAAGGGCGAGGCTGAGAGTCGTCACTTAAACTTTCCCTTTCTGGCGAGCCAGAAGCCTCCGACGTGGCGCTCCTACATCAAAGAGCCACTTTCGGCTGCTCCCTCCCATCTCCATCAAGGGTCAAAGCTCAGTGAGAGCGGGTTTAATGCGCTCCGGGGAGCTGACAAACCTAGGACTAGTGTCATGGAGAACGTTTCTCACAGGGGTGGAAGAAGTCGCCACAGGTAACCCTAAGTTACCCACACCACGGGACCGGCTGTGGAGAGAGCTGGTCGCAAGCTACAGTCCCGGCGGCCTCAGCACCGGCTCGGATCCTTCCGCCCGCTCCCTCGCGTCCGTCCC